ATCCGCATTATGACAATATGACGTCACAACATTGGTCCTGAATTATCACTCTAATCTAAGGAACGCTTAAAGTTTACAGTTTCACTTGAACTTTTAATACGGACAATCCTTGTACCTTTCTTGATAAAAAGATATGAACAATTCCTCACCTTAACAACGTGAGTTGCTATAAAGTTTAAACTATGATGAATCAATCGCCAAGTTGTGATTGACACGTGTAGACAAAGATAGATTGGTTACCCCTACTTTCCCGTCAAGTTTCACACGCTGCAGGTGATAAAGATATATCATATAAATAGGTGTACATGCAAATCGTGTCGATGATTATGATGATCAGTTAATAATAATCACGGAATGTGGTCTGCTCTATTTGAAGACGGTGTCCTCTGATGATGGGGCCACACCACAGCAAAGGTCATGTGACGACGGCGCTAACTGATGATTGGACCACACAACAGCTAAGGTCATATGACGACGGCGCTTACTGATGATGGGGCCACACCACAGCAAAGGTCATGTGCTGACGACGGCGCTTACTGATGATTGCGCCACACAACAGCTAAGGTCAAATGACGAAGGCGCTTACTGATGATTGCGCCACACAACAGCTAAGGTCAAATGACGGCGGTGTCCACTGATGATTGCGCCACACAACAGCTAAGGTCAAATGACGGCCGTGTCCACTGATGACTGCGCCACACAACAGCTAAGGTCATATGACGACGGTGCTAACTGATGATTGCACCACACAACAGCTAAGGTCATATGACGACGGCGCTTGCTGATGATGGGGCCACACCACAGCAAAGGTCATGTGCTGACGACGGCGCTTACTGATGATTGCGCCGCACAACAGCTAAGGTCAAATGACGGCGGTGTCCACTGATGATTGAACCACACAACAGCTAAGGTCAAATGACGGCGGTGTCGACTGATGATTGCGCCACACAACAGCTAAGGTCATATGACGACGGTGTCCACTGATGATTGGACCACACAACAGCTAAGGTCATAAGACCACGGTGTCCACTGATGATTGGACCACACAACAGCTAAGGTCATATGACGGCGGTGTCCACTGATGATTGCGCCACACAACAGCTAAGGTCATAAGACGACGGTGTCCACTGATGATTGGACCACACAACAGCTAAGGTCAAATGACGGCGGTGTCCACTGATGATTGGACCACACAACATCTAAGGTCAAATGACGGCGGTGTCCACTGATGATTGAACCACACAACAGCTAAGGTCAAATGACGGCGGTGTCCACTGATGATTGCGCCACACAAGAGCTAAAGTCATATGAAGACGGCGCTTACTGATGATTGCGCTACACAACAGCTAAGGTCATATGAAGACGGCGCTTGCTGATGATTGCACCACACAACAACTAAGGTCATATGACGACGGCGCTAACTGATGAAATGTCACCATACTGAATTGGAGCAACTTGTTTCCACACCCTGTCACATCAATCTGATAACAGTTCAATCTGAGGTGTCAAAGTAGACATCCCAATTCATGTTCATTTCGTTGTTCCCATCAAAAACAGTAAAACTAAGGAAACTTCCAATTCTCCCGGGAATCGTTCCATTTTAGTTATAATTTTTTACACAAGACGGTAGAAGTAAAAACATGTAGCAAAACTGAATATTGACAACGTGAACAAACATCTCGATATCGATTTTCAAAAACAAATTGTTAATATTGGTCATCACCTATTGAAGCGTCGCCAAGAAATTACGGCAACTTTCTTCCTTGTCCACAATATTTACTTGGAAGGATAATTCTCCAATGAAATTTACTTATTTCTTCATTGCCTTTATTAATTTAGCTCCTTGCATTAGTCGTTTCAAGTGTTTCTCCGTTTAGACGACCCTAGTAAAGCGGAATACATCTGGACAGATGGGAAACATGCAAATTATACAAAGATACTTACTGTATTCGAACTGCTATTGTGTTACACGTGCTGGAACCGCGGACATGTCAGCCTCTGAACCAAAGAGCGCCAACTGTATAAACGATCTTCTCAGAAAGATTGGCATTCCAGTACAATACACAATCCACGCCAGGCACGACACATACCACTCCAAACCAAACATAAATCTAGAAAAAAGTGTAGATCATAAGGAAAAAACCCTCTGGTAAGTCAATCCACTGTTTCTGGTGAGTACGTATACACCAACGGTAGACTGAAGCAGTGTATTCCTCGTTACTTGATGTATCAGACCGTGTGATACGGTCCGCTATTTACACTGTTTCTAAATAAGATATGATTCAAAGTTCTCCGGGAGGTTTGGATGACGGCGTCACAGACGGTCGAGCACGTGTTACAAATGTACAGGTATACATATATACCTACCTGTGTACAGGTGTAATAACGATAATGAGCGGATGATCACCTGGACCCACACAATGTAGCTTTATCATCTGTGGAGGTGTATGTTGACATTTCCAAAGGATTGTCGGCATACTTTACAGCATTTAGTGTAGTTTAAGCATCATTTTATTTCCAATTTTTGCGCATTAAACAAACTTCAAAACATAGAATAAAGAGGATTGGAAAACAAGCTAAGAGCTTATCCTATAGTAATTCCTCTCCTCTTACGGCACAGTATACATGGACATTTGTACATATTTATGATGACAGATGGACAAAACGGTAACGAAATATGGAGATGTAATTATTTAAAGAATGAATATAGCACATCGACTGTAAGCTATGTACTGGTACATCATGTGAACAGAAGTAAAGAATATAAAGAAATAAAAACAACAAAACTAAACATCAAACTATTTACAGCATTTGTGTGTTGTACTCACGCCTATAACATATACAAGTAGTTCCTTCTGTAAACTTAATACAAATTTGTTAATAAATTTTGTATTTTGGAAGTAAATATATGCGGTACATTTTATGAAACTGTGCAGTGAAAAAAATATTGAAATCTTAATCCCACATTACGAATTATCCCGATGTTGGCCGATGTTTGCCGGTTTCATTATACATGGAATACCTTAAGTAAAAGTTTGTCTACGTTTCAAATATCGTTATTTCACCATCGAGACAATATGGATGTTACATATAAGTATCAATGATGTTAGCTGCATATACAAACATAATATGTATTGTGTGTTTACAGGAGAGTAATTCAAATTTAGAGCTTACCAATATTTATTTCATTTTAACCATTAGCTTAAATATTTATTTGTCGTGAAAAGACTTGATATTTCTTTTAAGTGAAAAATGCCATTTTTTATTTCTTATATTTCAAGCATAAGTGATTACTCTGAACCGCATTAACCGAAAACAAGAGGTCCAGAGGGCCTGTATCGCCCCCATGGATAATAAAGCAACCATGGAAAATTAGTAGTAGTAGTAGTACAAGAGGCCCAGAGGGCCTGTATCGCTCACCTGGATATCTAAGCAATCATGGCAAAATATTCTCCAAATAAGATCCAAGGGAATTGGCCAGACCCCAAGGTCAATCCTTGTAGCATATCTGTATAAGATTTTTCATGCCCAGCAATTTTATGTATGTAATGGGTAGGGGATCTCAACTGTTTCCAAGGTGTGACTCAGATCAATAATAAAAACATGACTGCATTCGTGTCTTAATGCCCAGCATTTGTATATATATATAGTTTTTTTTTGGGGGGGGAACTCAATTGTTTCAAAGTAATGACCCATGGGTTAAGTCTTCAAGGGTGGGCCAGACCCTGGAGTCAATTCTAATAGCATGACTGCATTCATATAATTTTGCTTCCCCTTCACCAAAGAATGCTTCAAGAAGAAGGATTTTNTCGAGTCCCTTTTGCCCAAGGATGCTCCAGACCAAATTGGGATGAAATACCTTAATCCCTATGGTAGGAGAAGGATTTTAAAGGTTTTACCTCTATTGGGCCCCACCCCTCTGTCCCCAGGGGGCTACACCTACCCCTTATACAAAATTGAGTCCCTTTGGCCCAATGATGCTCTAGACTAAATAAGGATAAAATCCTTTAATCCCTATGGTAGAAGAAGGATTTAAAGGTTTTACCTCTATTTCCCTCTATCGCCACTCTGCCCAGAGGAGGGCCACACCCACCATTTATACAAAACTGTGTCCCCTTGGCCCTAGGATGTTCCAGACTAAAATAGGATAAAATCCCTTAATCCCAACGGCAGATAAAGAATTTTAAAGGTTTTACCTCTTATTTCCCCTATTGGGCCCTGCCCCTCTGCCCCCACCCACCCTTTATACAACATTGAGTCCCCTTGGCCTAAGGATGCTCCAGACCAAACTTAGTCGATGGACGTATGACGTACGCTGCAGTATGGCATAAGCTCACCATGGTTCTTCGGACAAGGTGAGCTAATAAACTGAAGGAAAGGGATATCAAAACATTATAACCATGTTCCCCCTACTGGACCCTTCCCTTTGCTCCAAGGGACATTACATGTACTTGGACTCGTAGCCTCTAAAAGGAAAAGTTGACAGACGGACCACAGTCGCTGTGTTATGGCATAAGCTCAAAATGGAAGAAAAAATGTGTGATTTAATAGCGACGTCATAATCAAATGGTACCTTATAACGTCGCTTTACACACATTTGACTCTTCCAATTAAATGTAAACGTGATATAAAAGCTAATGTTTCTTGGTGAAAGATGTGTTAAGTATTTCTTGAGAGAAAAAGCCATAACAAAAGTTGTTTAAGGACAGACGATCGACCATTGATGAAAGGCGATTTGAACAAAATGCCTTTAGCAGCAAGATATTTGGCTCATAGATCACTAATTTTATCATTTAACATATTTCATCAACAACACTGAGGTAAAGGGTACCACCGCCTAAGCTAGGAATGTAAATAAGATACAGAAAACACTGAGCGTTTCTGAGTTTGGGTTATGTCCCTTGGTCATAAAACACAGTAATTTCATTAGAGTATTCTCCCTTTGAGAACTATTTGGGCTCTTGTTACATCATATGATGCAGAAAAAACAAACAAAAAGGTCAAAGGGTGCAATCTGCATAGGTTTATTTGTTTAAATGATAATAATAGAAAAAGACTCACTGTAATGACATCAATACAACTGTGTGTAAACAGCAACAACAGGACACTCTCTTTGGAATATGTACAAAAAAGCATGAACGTCAACTCTACATCTCCACTGAACTATGTACACAAAAACTGCCAAAAAACTCTCTTACTGCTGTCAGAAAGCGATATACAAAGCCAACAATGTTGATTGGACGAAAACAATATAGACACCCTGTCAGACATAGTTACATGATGTACTTTGACTGATAGGGAGAAAACGTACCCAACAGGAAGTGATGTCACCACACAAATATACACCAAAGGAAGTGATGTCATCATACAAACATACACCACAGGAAGTGATGTCATTACACAAACATACACCACAGGAAGTGATGTCATCTCACAAACATACACCACAGGAAGTGATGTTATCTCACAAACATACACAACAGGAAGTGACATCATCATTACAGCCTTTGCAAGAAAGGAAGTGATATTACATCAAATATGTAAGGTTATTACAACAAACATTCACTTAAGGACTGTTAAAGAGAAATGATTGACTGTCTATTTACATTGGGCGTCTTCTTTCCTCTAGAAAATAAGTTCAAGGTCACAGATAATATAACTGATTATACTGCTTATTTTTCAATTCCTAGTAAATTCTAGATAGAATATTTTAATAGTTTCCTGGTAAGTAAATAATAAGCATTAAAACAAATTCCATTAGTCCTTTTAAGCACATGTTTTAGTACATAAAGATTAAAGCATTTCATAAACAGTCCTATCGTCAAATATTTAAAGATTCAAAAGTAAAATCATTGACTTTTATTTCAATACAAATTAAGATATTTCAGCAAAGAAATTAATCTAGATTTGTTGTAACATTGGTTCTACTGTCACCTGATTCTCCGTGACCGAATGTGAACCACTTCTTTCCTAACCTGGGCAATTATTTTCATTTGATCATTTTTGCTTGTTTTCACATATTCAGTTTCCACAGAAATATGAACCGTGGGACCTATGTGAAAGGGACCTTACAGAATCCAGATTTAACAGGGTTTGGTTAAGACGAAATTATACAGGGTTCAGTTATTTTCTGAAATAATGTGAGAAAAGTGTTTGGAAATATACTGGGGAAGAACTTTTCAAATGATGCGAAAATGTTTACTTAGCACCACACCAGGTAAAAATACCCATTGTTTACCATGTATTTAAACACGTTTCACTAAGGTAACTCCCATAGCAAATCATTTCACACATTCCAGGATTAAATTATTCCAACAAAACGATTCAATCCATTAAACCTACCATGCTGCCATAATTTAACCACAAAAATAAACTTACAGTGTAATTCTTCTAAATGAAAACATTTCCATAAGAAGTTTTTGTAAACTATAGTCTACAACTTGTTGATGCCCCGCTATAATGTACAACGACCACGCCACGAAAGGTGTTAAAATGATGGAACTAAAGGCTGATGACTGGACCCGTATGAGCCTTTCAAACAAAGACGCCCAGGGTCTCCCTGGAGGCGAAAACAAGTGTCAAATCAGGACAATGCCACAGATTTCTATTTCTTAATTTTCTACAACGATATAATTTTTTTTTTTTTTTAAATTTCAAAATTTTAGGTTCTTAATCTTTATTTGTTTAATAACAAAATTTGCTGCATACCTGGTATTTCAAAATTTTGTCAGGTTGATCAAAAATGCCATGTTTCGAGCCAGATAAGTACTTTAACAGTTGTTAAGAACAAAAACAAGCAAATGACCATCGTGATAGAATGTGTTTAACTGTAATCTGGAATTAAATAATGAAAGAAAAGAAACTTAAGAAATAGAAAAAGTCTCCTTCTGGGTGCTTGAAGGAAACCAGTAGCATTATGGGATGTAACAAAATATGTAACATGTTTAAATTGACAGAAAGCAAGTATAATACTCTTAAGTGTGAAATCATTCTTCATACAGCTGCCTTTAAAAAACTGAATTACAATGCATGTGAGAAAATTGAAATAGGAGCGAAAATTTCTGCCAACAAAAATTGTGAAATCTTATTTAAATTGTACCATTTCAACTCAAAAAAGCATGTTCCAGATTTTAAATAACACTAAATCGTCACTTAATTATAAATGAGATAAAAAGCAATATTTCATTAAAAAATTGTCTGTTCTTCTTTTCAGAATTTCTTATTAAATATTAAATTAAATGCCAAAGCCTTGTTAGATTCACTCATATAAATCTGTTTTCTCCAAACTCTCACAAAATTGATGATTAAGTTCACATGTCTTACTTTCGAACACTGCTACTCTTTAAATGTTTATGACTTCATGTTAAAGCACACACACAACTTCATGAAAATGACTGGGACACAAAGTAGTGACATGCCACACCCCTGTTATCAAGCGGACAGAGAAATTCATTGTGAGCATTTCTTTCTCTCTCCCTGTAATATGAATGAAATGGTCCCCAGTAATTTCAGTGTGAAGAAATCAGCATATCCGTTTTCAGCACCAATTTGTGATAGTGAGTGTCGTGTGTTCGTCATTTTCAACCATGGTATGAAGTTTGAATGAGACATAATTACAATACGACCGTAAATGGTTTTAAAAGATTTCAAAACTATGGAAAATTGAACTAACAGTTTTCATTCAAAATTGCTTTTATTTAACAAACAAAAAAACCACAAAAAGACTCTGTTCCTAAATTTAAGAGAGAAGCTTAAATGCTAATAGAGAAAGCGATTTAAGGCACAGATATTTGAGGGAAGAGCATGTAACCATGGATATAAGGAACCAACAAGTTAATATGATTCCAAACTAAAGCCTCACCATATATCAAACCCACTACTAGACAGACTTGTTAACATTTATCACACAAACAGATTTAATCTAGTTTTAAATATATTGTGTTCAATATGATTCACAGATCAACAAAAGTTAGGAACCACCATCATCCTGGAATAGTCCAATGATAAGAACCACAACTTTAAAAGTAAAAGTAAAGGACTATTAGCACTATAGATATACAAATAAGGACTATATATATAGAAAGTGGTTACACTTCTGTAAATAATGTCCTGTAGCACTTGTAGGAGACGGACACAATATCGGTGCAGTAGCTCCTGAGTTGTATTAAATACATCAACACTACTTTACAAATAGGTTAACTTACTCACATAAATACACACAACTTGGTGGGGTATCTACAACAGGAAGTTAGTGTGTAGACTCCCTCCCTCACTCAAACATGCGTTAAGTCAAGGTTACGGCAAAGTCACACATGTCAGTTTTAAATAATAACGATTAACACAAAGTATGAATATGTGTGAAGCAGACTACATTACGGGGTATTGCTGGTTGATTAAATATTTAAAACTGTTATCATTTTTCCTGTAAATATTTTCATTGAAAGTTTTCAGTTTCGTTAATAGAGTGTAGGCCGCTATGAAATTAGTCTTGCCAGCTTTGTCTTCATTATTCATGCACTGTGGCCTGTAGTTGTCAATCACAACAATTTTCCCTAGTCTCCTTTGTGCTTGAATTGCATGTGATGGTAGCTGTATGTTAAGACAAACTTTGACCTGACTTGTATTTATTGGTGTCAGATAACGACAACGTCTCAATTTGTATTATTTCATTATTTATTATAAAATAATAGTGTTGCATTTGGCATCAACAGTTGCCAAAGCAGAACCTACAAAACGTAAAAATATAATGTGTAATATGAACTGGTGTCTTTGGATTGAAATAAACTATTGCTGTTGATTGACCGACTGTTGACCAGTAGTGACCATCTGGCGTCAGTGGGAAGACATACTTACATAAAATAACACAACGGATAAAGATAATAACATGTCAAACAAATCTTATAAGTTTTCTGGTGATGGTTGTGAAACTTGCCCTCCAGATTTTAATTTAGTGAGGCAAATGTCCAGTAAAGTGAAAAATCCAATGCTTGTTTGATAAATATCACACAAAACAAAAACCAACTAAAAGTTGTTATCAGATTATTAAGAATGATTACGAATGCATTGAAACAACAGAACTAAACTTTTTCTTTTCCAAAGAACAAAGATATTTTAGCTTTAGTTCAGCTATTTCATGCCACAAAATGCTTTTGTGAATATGATCTAAGAAAATTGATTTTCGAAAATCGAGTATGTAGACAATGCCCTTTTTCCAAGAAATTCTCAAATCCCATTTAATTTAATGATTCAATGATTGATGCGAGACAGTTAGGGGGTAATGATACTGTATATAAAACATTTCCATCGGTCTATGTTACCTCCATTGTACAAAAAGACAGATTGATATAGGCAGTTAAATCATGTTTACATGTATAACAATCTGAGGAAGTTGTCAAAATGAATCTGTCTATCTATGGTAATTTCTTTTGGCTTTAAGAATGATAATCTGACCATTCTAAAAGTCTTTTCTCGTAAAGCCATTGATACTAGGAATCCAATCACTGGGATTAACAATGTTTGAAACGTCATTCATAAAACAAGAGGGAAAAAAACCTGTATAAATAATTTTATATTAAATGTTCATTAATATCTATACATTATCTACATATGTACACAGACTTTGGTAAAATATATACATTCTTGATTAGGTATCTCAATCCCACACATGCATACAAAACAGGTTCACAAACTCAAACATTAAACAAATGAGAATATGTACAAAAAAGCAAGTTATCTCCCCTTGATGAACAGCTCTTCTTTCTTTGAAGATCAAAAGTCTACGCTACCGTATATACAATTAACTAAGACAACATTCCTTGTTATGGGGATCTTGGTCTAGATTGAGAGATCTATTCAATTTCTGAATGAAATGATGAACGGAAATATGAAACAAAAATTCTGAAAGTCCCCTCTGTGAATCCCTAATATGTAGCTAAAACAAGCAGCTATCTTATGTAATCGTCTACCATCCCCTGGTCCTGAGTAAGATCTATCACACACAGCCCCACCCACTCCTGAAGTAAGATCTATCACACAGCCCCACCCCCTCCTGAGTTAGCATGAGTCAATTAGCACCACTGCCATGTTGAGACTTACTGTCGCCATAATTTCCTTACACCTAGAATCTTACTAACTAAAATCAGAAACCAATAGTTCTTTTATAGCCATTGATTGTTTGGTATCTTCCACGCAGTTTCCATTGACACTGAGTTATTTTTTTCCATTTTAAAAAAGCATTAGGAGAAAGCCTTTATGTAGATTTTATATCAATACTAAACAGAAAAAGAATCCATAAAGCAAGATGCTCACTAACTTGATACTCAAGCACACTGCTTTATACAACTTTGGTCACTATCACAGTTTAAAAACACTACATTTGTAAACATTGATCAACACAAAAATAAAATATTTTCTCTAGCCAATTTCCCATACATTTCAACAAAGAGAGTTTTACAGACTTATGTCTCTAGCGAGGTAGAGACTTATGTCTCTAGCGAGGTAGAATCAATACAACATCTGCATCAAAACAGGGCTGCACTCAGTACGGAAACAGTTCTGATTTTTATTTAATTTTGACCACTACATTGGCTGAGAATGCTCTACAATGTTTGGAAACCAAAACAAGTGGTATCTTACTACACAAACCCAAATCTGGCCTGCGTTATTCAATGTTTCATTCATAATTACTTGATATCTATTTTCTACAACACATCACATGCCTTATATTGAATTTTCACACCACTTCACCAAAATCTGTATATGAATTAACAAAGATAAACCTTCAAACCTCTTGGTGTGATTGTTCTAAGTTTAATAATTGTCTCTCCTACTGGTGTAAACGTAATAACTTCAAAATACACCTTTCTTCAAGGTTTTCCATGGATCTTCAGATTTATCAATATGTAATGTAGAATAATATCATCTCATATATTCTTTTTCAAAACCTTTTTGTAGATTTCCCTCCATTCACCCCTGAAGACACATTTGAACTCTTCCAATTCAAAGGTTGGATTAGTTCATTATGTATGCTGAATGCAGCCCTGTTGTGCAATAAACCCCATAGGAAGCACACAGTGTGCTTTTTTCCTGATTTTTTTGTTTAAGTATTACAACAAACTTTATTACTTATGTCACACACAGATTTCCGTAGAAAGGAAAAGATTGCCAATCAAGGGGAGATAACTTGTGTACTATTTGTATCACTCCATTCACATAACACTATTATGCACATACAGTCGCCCAATGTCTCTCTTTACCAGCAAGCACACGATATCACATGGAACTGGCTAACATACACGAACGAAATGACAATATGAAGATTTTAAACATCTCATGCTGAAGTAAATATGTATGATAGCTGTACACAACGACCCGTCAACAAACAACACACATGATTCAATACATTAGTTAATGTAGCTTCATTCCAATTCAGCATTATAAATGCAACAAAAACATATTCTGTATTTCTTTTCTCTTTGTCAACAATCAAGGTAAACAACCTACCGGTTATAAGTTTAAATCTAATCTAATAACTTCATCGATATAAATATTTGTTTTCAGAATTGTGAAGGTGGAGTTATCCTATCTGCTCAACATGTTTGTTTTTAAATATCACAAACCATGCTGTAGAATAAATTCTACACGAAACTTCTGAAAGGAACCTGACTAAAAATTCTGTGTTATCATGTTGTTTCCGGGAAAAAACATCCAGTTTTTATAATTTATAGTGGCCACTATCTTACTCAATGGAACACTGATCAATTTGTCAAAAACAAATACATTTTTTAAACAAATTTAGAGAAAGGATTTTTGGATGTGCGCTTTTCATGAATTTTCATTTTTTTTTTTTTAAATATTTTTGAGGTGAAGCTCTCAAATCTGTTTTCCTCACATTAACAAAATAATTTGGTCCATTTTTGATGCAACACACACTCTGGTCCAGTGTCATCATGATTGCTACGACAATGAAAATTGCAACATCAACTCAACACAATATTGTCACTGGTTGCCATAGCAACAGTCGTTTCACAGGTCACCGTGGTAACATCTGTAGCTGTGTTGAGTTGGAGAGTGATGATTGTTAATGGTTGTGGTCTAAGTTGACATTTAGCCAGGGTCAAGTAGTGGTTGCTGTAAGTTGGGCCAGCCAGGGGTACAGGGCCATCAGGATTCCGAAGAGCAGCATCAGCAGCGGTATACTGGAGGCAAAGGATTGCTGCAGCGAAAACAACACGAGTGTTAGACAACTTTATCATCATTCTCACAATCCACACATGACACAATGTCGAATCAGTTAACCCTTCACCCAGGAAAATGTGTAAACAACACGTCAAATCTCGTAGATTGGCCATGCTGTTCGCACTTTTTCCTGGATTTTTACTTACACCAGTGTGAACTCTGTATACCTTCTTGGTATCCACGGTATAATCGACGATGAAATAGAAGATACATCACTTATCTAGGATGTTGTGTCTCCACCACCCTTTCTGTGATTTAACCCTTTAGTTTAATATCACAGAAAATATGCTTCAACCGTTGATCTAATTGCCCGAAATATTTAAGCCTATCTGAACACTTGTTTGCTTACAGTCTCACAGGAAGTCCTGTCCACAATATCAGTTCCTAAGGACATACACCACTGATACTTAACAAGGGAGTTTGTACTTAAAGGGTAAGAATAGGGTTTGTTTTACCTGGATTTGTTTAAACTCTTGCAGTTTTACAGAAGCTCAGATATTCCTTCATTACTTCATTTTGTATGATGATATATTTTTGTAATAATTACTGTTCGACTGAATGCTCCACTAAGACAGAAGAAGACAAAAGGATATGTGTGGACTTGTGGAAAACATATTTTGATTGTAAACAAGGTTTTAACTGAATTTTCTCATTGATTTCATGAAGAGATGAACATTTCATAGGTGTTGTACATTGAAATTTTGTTGTTGTTGTTGATGATTACAAATTGATTATTGACAACATAAAGAACACAAATTCACCATCTTTGATCTGTTAGCCAGCTGATGATAATCTTCCGACATGTTGTCCATTTCGGATTTGAGTTCTCCAATCTTCGTCACCGAAGCCTCACACTTTTTCATCAATATGGCTACCTCCTCTTGAGAATGCTCAAGCTGAAATAAGGGAAATAAAGCTCAAGTTACTTTCATAGAAGGCATTCCTGTAACTGAATTTTCTAATAACTAATCTTTTCCTCCAATATCAAATTTCTTTCCTTTCTGACTTGTGACAACATGACAGATTAAAGTTTAAAAGGTATAATCCAAAAATATTTCCATTATAGACATAACAAAACATTTCATAAATTTCAGAATTTTAAAGTAATTCTTAAATAAATGTACTTGTTTCAAAAAATAAGATTAAACTACTATTTACGATAATATACTGATACCCAGAACACGGGGCATGCCATGCAAAGCTAACTTGGTTTTCATGGATAGGACCATGGATAGGACCAATAGGTAATTGTGGGTTAGGACTGTAGGACCAATAGGTAATTGTGGGTTAGGACTGTAGGACCAATAGGTAATTGTGGGTTAGGACTGTAGGACCAATAGGTAATTGTGGGTTAGGACTGTAGGACCAATAGGTAATTGTGGGTTAGGACTGTAGGACCAATAGGTAATTGTGGGTTAGGACTGTAGGACCAATAGGTAATTGTGGGTTAGGACTGTAGGACCAATAGGTAATTGTGGGTTAGGACTGTAGGACCAATAGGTAATTGTGGGTTAGGACTGTAGGACCAATAGGTAATTGTGGGTTAGGACTGTAGGACCAATAGGTAATTGTGGGTTAGGACTGTAGGACCAATAGGTAATTGTGGGTTAGGACTGTAGGACCAATATGTAATTGTGGGTTAGGACTGTAGGACCAATAGGTAATTGTGGGTTAGGACTATAGGACCAATAGGTAACTGTGGGTTAGGACTGTAGGACCAATAGGTAACTATGGGTTAGGACTGTAGGACCAATAGGTAAATGTGGGTTAGGACTGTAGGACCAATAGGTAATTGTGGGTTAGGACTGTAGGACCAATATGTAACTGTGGGTTAGGACTGTAGGACTAGTAGGTAACTGTGGGTTAGGACTGTAGGACCAATAGGTAATTGTGGGTTAGGACTGTAGGACCGATTGTGGGTTAGGACTGTAGGACCAATTGGTAATTGCGGGTTAAGACTGAAGGACCAATAGGTAACTGTGGGTTAGGACTGTAGGACCAATAGGTAACTGTGGGTTAGGACTGTAGGACAAATATGTAATTGTGGGTTAGGACAGTAGGACAAATAGGTTATTGTGGGTTAGGACTGTAGGACCAATATGTAATTATGGGCTAGGACTGTAGGACCAATAGGTAACTGCGGGTTAGGACTGTAGGACCAATAGGTAACTGTGGGTTAGGACTGTAGGACCAATAGGTAACTGTGGGTTAGGACTGTAGCACCAATAGGTAACCGTAGGTTAGGACTGTAGGACCAATAGGTAACTGTGGGTTAGGACTGTAGGACCAATAGTTAATTGTGGGTTAGGACTGTAGGACCAATAGGTAACTGTGGGTTAGGACTGTAGGACCAATAGGTATGACTATTACCCTTGGTCAATGAAGCCTGGGTATCCATGGGTACCTCATGGCTAAATCTGAGCAAAGTTTTTGTCCCAAATGATCTAAGCCCAGAGGACTGCTATTGGTGCCCAATTGGATAAAATTAAGACCCTGGGGTAGATAATCGTACCCATTGATTAAACTAAGGTAAGCCCCTGGAGTATATTTAGGTACCCTGGGATAGAATTAAGTCACTCGGGTGGTTATCTGTACCCTTTTATTAAACTATTAAGTCCCAGCTGGGGTAGGTAGAAGGTTGAAGTAGCTAAGGTATGGACCATATTTCTGGCCAAAGTTTTGGTACCCTAGGGTCTAAGCTCTGGGGTAGGGATTTGTACTCAGCACAGGACCATGTACCTGAAACAGGCACAGGTAATGGAGAGCTTTCAACCCTATGTAACTTAAGAAGACTCTGCCATGCATTGACCTGGATGAGTCCATTATAGACTACAGTGGTGAAAGGGTTTATCTACTTCTTGAAGAGATCAGCTATACTGTTAGCAAGACAGCTGATTACCAGTGTATTTCATCAAGTACTTATTTCTTTGTTCAGTCTAACAGGCCCTGGTAGAGGCCCACCTCTTGATGACCTTTGGCTGATCTATTTTCAAAAGGTAGAAACAAAAGGAAACTTCTCTTGTATTGTGCATCATATTTTAACTGATCAAGCTGGAACCATTCCTGCAGCTGGCCAGGGCAATATCAACCACTGATGAGCTCATAGGTGAAGCTTCAACTCTCACACAAAAGCATCAACAAAAATATCCCCACCTCACATTCTCCATTACCAGAAATAGATCAATTTGTAATGTCACCTCGGTCACTCTCCCCACTCTAAAGATGACCAAAAGTTCTTTTCAAATAGTTTTCAAGACACAAATATCTTTTGTTGGCAATATGAAATTTTTTCATTCGATAAAGTTGGTCAGTCTACCCAAATATTTAGAATATATTTCTGGTCAAAACGAGCCAACACATAATTATGGAGTACATTCCCCTGCCTACACAACTCTTGGACTGTAAGGGTCAAGGGTTCTAAAAAAGGGTTCAATCAAAAATAAACATGCTAAAAACTCATACAGACTGGTCAAAAGAAAGGCATGACAAACTATTTAGAATGACACTACCAGAAACTTACTATAAAGCAGAGAAAAACAACCGTGCGTAGAAAAACCAAAATCACAAATAAGTACTCACTAGATAGGATGAGACTAAAAACGGGATATACACTACCATGGACAACATGACCAGGTCCCATACTAAAGGCTGAAAGCTCAAAATAACACACAGCCTCTAGTGCGCGGAGAGGGCGGGATACAAGTGTCGGCCACACAACAGCTAGGAGGGGGCAAAAGGGCGCCCCTATACCTACATGTGTCAGGCGGGTGTCTGGTGAAGACTCCCCCTGGGGTGGGGCCCCGGGGGTGGAGACCTGTCTCACCTCCTGCAGGGCCTGCTCCGATTCCTTCTGTGAATCAGTAAGGTTGGATTTCCACGCCAGTTCCTTCATCTCCAGCTGGACCTTGAGTGCCTCGAGGTGTTTGTACGACTCCTGGAGCTTGTTGTACTCCGCAGACAGCTGTAGATTCTCTTTCCGTGACCTACAACACCCATGGACAGTTGTTAACTCTGTCCTAAACCCACCTGTACTACTATTTATCAAACTTAATTAAACATATATTTGGGTAGAAATTACAAAAAATATTTTTAACTGGACATCATGGATACATATCAAATTGTAATTAAGTAGTACTATTTTACATTTTAGGCAATTTAACAGATAATAATAGCATAATAAACAGATGAATTAAGATATAAAATAGATATCTTTTTGTCCAAACAGATTTGTCTACCATTCTGAATATATCACCATTTTTGCCCAGTACACATGACAGCTCAGTCCATCAATCATAAGGCTAACTTTATCAACCAAAGAACCAACAATATTACCCACCATTAACTTTATCACCGTAGCTTAAAGTGTTAACTGTATCACCCATAGGGCTAACAATATTACCCACCAATAACTTTATTACCGTAGCTTATAGTGTTAACTGTATCACCCATAGGGCTAACAATATTACCTACTGTTAACTTTATTACCCTAGCTTATAGTGTTAACTGTATCACCCACAGGGCTAACAATATTACCTACCGTTAACTTTATCACCGTAACTTATAGTGTTAACTGTATCACCCATAGGGCTAACAATATTACCTACCGTTAACTTTATCACCGTAGCTTATAGTGTTACCTGTATCACCCACAGGGCTAACAATATTACCCACCATTAACTCTATCACTGATAGTTTATAGTGGTAACAGTATCACCCATAGGGCTAACAATATTACCCATCGTTAACTTTATCACCATAGCTTATAGTGTTAACTGTATCACCCATAGGGCTAACAATATTACCCACCAATAACTTTATTACCGTAGCTTATAGTGTTAACTGTATTACCATAGGGCTAACAATATTACCTACCGTTAACTTTATCACCGTAGCTCATAGTGTTAACTGTATCACCCATAGGGCTAACAATATTACCCATCAATTACTATATCATTGATAGCTTATAGTGTTAACTGTATCACCCAGAGGGCTAACAATATAACCCACCATTAACTGTATCACCGTAGCTTATAGTGGAAACTGTATCACCCATAGGGCTAACAATATTACCCACCAATAACTTTATTACCTTAGCTTATAGTGTTAACTGTATTACCATAGGTCTAACAATATTACCTACCGTTAACTTTATCACCGTAGCTTATAATGTTAACTGTATCACCCATAGGGCTAACAATATTCCCCGCCGTTAACTTGATCACTGATAGCTTATAGTGTTAACTGTATCACCCAGAGGGCTAACAATATAACCCACCATTAACTGTATCACCGTAGCTTATAGTGGAAACTGTATCACCCATAGGGCTAACAATATTACCCATCAATTACTATATCATTGATAGCTTATAGTGTTAACTGTATCACCCAGAGGGCTAACAATATAACCCACCATTAACTGTATCACCGTAGCTTATAGTGTTAACTGTATCCCCCATAGGGCTAACAATATTACCCAACATTTACTCTATCACCATAGCTTATAGTGTTAACTGTATCACCCACTGGGCTAACAATATTACCTACCGTTAACTTTATCACCGTAGCTCATAGTGTTAACTGTATCACCCATAGGGCTTACAATATTACCCAACATTTACTCTATGACCATAGCTTATAGTGGTAACTGTATCACCCACAGGGCTAACAATATTACCTACCGTTAACTTTATCTCCGTAGCTCATAGTGTTAACTGTATCACACATAGGGCTTACAATATTACCCAACATTTACTCTATCGCCATAGCTTATAGTGTTAACTGTATTACCCACTGGGCTAACAATATTACTTACCGTTAACTTTATCACCGTAGCTTATAGTGTTAACTGTATCACCAATAGGGCTTACAATATTACCCACCGTTAACTTTATTACCGTAGCTCATAGTGTTAACTGTATCACCCATAGGGCTAACAATATTACCCATCATTTACTCTATCACTGATAGTTTATAGTGTTAACTGTATCACCCATAGGGCTAACAATAGTACTAAAGATGTTTCAAAAGCTTTGTGGATTATTATCGACAACAATTACTTACATTTTCATCTCGGCTTCAATGGCCTGGATTCGCTTGCGGAGACTAGAACATTCCTCCTTGAGGGCAGTAAATTCAGCTGCTTCGAGAAGGAGAAAAAATAGCAAGGTCTATAAACATATATTCTAACCATTTGTGAGTCAGATTACAAATAACAACTCGGCAAACAAACCAATCAAAGGACCAGTCATGCTTCAGACCCTTAACCAGGTATGCATGTAACTCTCTCATTACAAACTGGAGAAAAAACTGTAAAAATGACGTCACACCATACCATGCTTTGGAGTACAACCATCGGGTGACGACACTACGGGATCATCATCTAACAGGAGAATTGATGTATAAATACAACACATCTTTATGATACCTAAATATCATAATACAAATGATAATGAAATTCTCTCTATTAAATAACCAACTAAGTAATATAACTCTAAATTATGCTCCTGTTTTAACATGTGTTAATACAGTGTATCTGGCACGAAACATAAAAGATGAGAGCCGATTCCCTCCCTAGTATCGACCAACAAGTGCAAGATGAATTGATGATGAAGACGTAAGATGACAGAATCTTTAAATGTGAGGTTCTGAAAAACCAACATGCATATCATCAACACAGATTAAACCAAATTTAATAGCCATGACAATTGTTCAATTCTGAAAACTGCAACGAAAATCTTAAGTGGTGGGGATCTTAATTAAAACCTAGTAGCCACATCATTACATCACAGACCAAATAATAGAATTAGCACACAGTGCACAGTGCCAGAATTCTGAATGACAAAACTTAGAGTCCAAATTACAGCAACAAAATCCCAAACACAACTGATGGGTGTGCTAAACAGCAAAATTAATCTCAATGAAGGCCCGAGTTAGGTTGGGTCAAGCGGGTAAATAAAAAGATGCGAAGAAAACGTTGACAATTACCAGCGATAATATTACCTCTCTGTTTAGAAGTGGTGGGGCTATGGGGTTCCGAGTGAGAGTGAGAGAATCGCGAATGATGCGAGTCTCGTGCCCTCTCTCTACGATCGTCAACTCTCTCTTGAAGATGGCGAACCTTGACTATAAATGAAATACATTATGAGGATGATTACAACAAAGGTCCATATACCATCAATGGCAGTGGTCTAAAACCAAGGCAGAGAAAGACACAGAAGCCACAGACCACAATGAGACATGCTGCTTGTTGACAAGCAAATCATTCAAAAAAAAGAATTTAGAAAGTATCATGCCTTACTCCTGTCACAACAGAGCATGCAGGAAATGGGAGCAAATCTATAGAAAAGGGGAGCAACTCTATACACCCAAACTACACAGCTATAAATAGCAAATGAAAACTCATACCAAGCAGGAAAGGTCAAGGACAACTTTGACAAATGAAGTATGACAAAAAACAACAATACAAACCATTTACAAAAGGAAAGTTAAAAAAAAAAAAAATACCAAAGGAAAATACAAACAATCTGGGAGGAAATTTTTCCAAGGTAAAGATATCAAAATCAATTCAATACCAGCAAACGAGGTAAGGAAGCACATCAAGCTAACACCACTGTTGATCATGTCAACAAGTGTTTACATATAGTTTTCAAAGGTCAACAAGTAAACTGCTGATGTAAACAAAGGTCAACAAGTTAACCAAGGTCAACAAGTTAGCCAATGTAAACAAAGGTCAACAGGTTAAATAATGTAAACAAGTTAACCAATGTCAACAAGTTAACCAATGTAAACAAAGGGCAACAAGTTAACCAATGTCAAAAAGTTAACCAATGTAAACAAATGTCAACAAGTTAACCAATGTCAACAAGTTGGCCAATGTCATCAAGTTAACCAATGTAAACAAGTTAACTAATATCAACAAGTTAACCACTGTAAACAAAGGTCAATAAGTTAACCAAGGTCAACAAGTTAGCCAATGTAAACAAAGGTCAACAGGTTAAATAATGTAAACAAGTTAACCAATGTCAACAAGTTAACCAATTTAAACAAAGGGCAACAAGTTAACCAATGTCAACATGTTAACCAATGTAAACAAAGGTCAACAAGTTACCAATGTCAACAAGTTAACCAATGTAAACAAAGGTCAACAGGTTAAATAATCTAAACAAGTTAACCAATGTCAACAAGTTAACCAATTTAAACAAAGGGCAACAAGTTAACCAATGTCAACAAGTTAACCAATGTAAACAAAGGTCAGCAAGTTAACCAATGTCAACAAGTTGGCCAATGTCATCAAGTTAACCAATGTCAACAAGTTAACTAATATCAACAAGTTAACCACTGTAAACAAAGGTTAACAAGTTAACAATGTCAAATAAGGTCAACAAGTTAACCAATGTTAACAAGGGCAATGAGTTAACTGCTGGTGTCAACAAGTTAACCACTGTAAATAAAGGTCAACAAGTTAACAATGTCAAATAAGGTCAACAAGTTAACCAATGTTAACAAGGGCAATGAGTTAACTGCTGGTGCAACAAGTTAACTGATGTCAACAAGCTTACCAATGTCAACATCATGACAACAAACCATAACATTTATGAGAGGAAGTAGACAATATAAAACAGCCATGCATAGCAGGAAATGCCCGAAGCTTGAACAAAAGGAGTTTGTGATATGTATGGACTGAAAACATGATTATTGCGATTGTGTTTTTGTATCTACTTAATTTTTAGCAGTTAACATTTCAAAGAGAAGTTCAGTTTTATCAGTAACAAAATCTTGTTTTGAGATAAATTTCAGTTCTATTTAAACTTGTGGGATGAACATTTTTCATATTTTTCAATTGTGCTAAAAATAGCTATCAAGTGAAAGTAGTATTCTAAATTGACTAAGAATTTGTGGAGTAATGAATCTATTGTTGAAGTTTTCAAAATGACTTTTCTCATAAAACCCATTGAGGGGTCTCCACAGGACAGGTTGAATATGTTAACACGATCTCTAGTAGAAAATGTTCAGATCCATTTCAGAAATGTTATGACCCATTTATATATTATTTTGTATATACTTTGGTAAGGGATGCCATTGTTATATGCAAAACAGTAATACCGTAAAGATTCTAATAATCACCCATGTGTCATCGACACCCTACTTAACATGCACAACCTAATTTTAGAATTTTGAAAACAAATAGTCCTTCGCTTGTGCACACCACCTACATAGGTATTAATGATATTACACCTCTGACGTAATTTAGCCTTGGACATAAAACAAAATTTCACGCTAATTATTAGCTGATAATCCTCCACTCCCGTTTCATAATTGCCCACTGTTTAATTTCCCGTTCTAATGTGTTAGGATAATATGGGTGATTAATACCATCAATACGGTAAACATTCAAGAAAAAAAAGATAACATTTAGAGGAACCGATAAAATCATAACACAGCCAGAAACGGAAGGTATGACAAAGTTTGATCATGCAAAAACTAGAGCGAGCTATCCATACAAACCTTTGTAAAACAGCCCTACGGACCACTTATATTTGTAAGATGTCATTTTTTAAATTAATATTTTAACACTTTCTTCCTGAGGACTTAAGCATGTCCAATCATATTTAAAGGGTTAAAAGTAGGTCTTTGTGATAAAATATTGCGAAAAAAAGAACCCACAACATATATGTGATCTATAGTACATTGTTTACTTTAAAATCTCTCATTTTACAAGAGATATACATTACTTTGTAAGGAAAGTAGACAATACATATCTCTTGGAAAATTTGTAAACATATATAACATGTGTAGATTATACGACAAATTATGTGACTTAAAATATCTCCTACAAAAGATTCAATGAAAATGCAAACATTTCAAAAACATAATTTTTGATTTGTTTTTGCTGTTTTTCATATTACTTTATATTATTATTTTCTTTGTAAAAACTTCATATATGAAGTAAGATAATCTATTAAATTGATATTTCCATCAATTCTGCTCTTACAAAGAACATTGCACTTCTATCAAACATAGATCACCAAATCAATAGAAAGTTTTAAGTTTTATTTTCACTTAACAAGGTGCTTTAATTGTCTCTAGCTGACATAAATTATTTTGATACCGAACCAAAGTTTTCAGTTCTCTTATAATCAAAAAATTATTCAGTTCTCCACCATACTCTCCTAACCAATGCCCTAGAATTCAGCCTCTTGGAACGGCTACTTTCTCCTAGTAGGGAATTACTTGAGTGGTTGTACCAGAGCGTGTTATTTGTTGCCCAGAATAAACACTTACTTTTGAGCTGCTCGGTTTCATTATGACTTTGCTTGGCAGTCTGTTGGGCCTCTTGTTGTGTTCCTAAAAACATAAAATTCTAAACTGTTTATCAAGTCTTGTCTGTTTTGCTTCCTTATCATCATCTATGTTTTTTCAATGAGGTTTACCTCTAACGAAGCATAATACTATAACTCTGGTTGAATTTCTTTAAAAACACTGATTTTGCAGGGTGACAGTGGTTTTGTAGTAGGCTGGGTGACAGTGGTTATGTAGTAGGCTAGGTGACAGTGGTTTTGTAGTAGGCTTGGACACAGTGGTTTTTGTAGCAGGCTAGGTGACCGTGGCTTTGTAGTAGGCTTGGACACAGTGGTTTTGTAGTAGGCTGGATGACAGTAGTTTTGTTGTAGACTTGATGACAGTGGTTTTGTAGTAGGCTAGATGACGGTAGTTTTGTTGTAGACTGGATGACAGTTGTTTTGTAGTAGGCTGGGTGACAGTGGTTATGTAGTAGTCTAGGTGACAGTGGTTTTGTAGTAGGCTGGGGGACAGTGGTTATGTAGTAGGCTAGGTGACAGTGGTTTTGTAGTAGGCTTGGACACAGTGGTTTTGTAGTAGGCTAGATGACAGTAGTTTTGTTGTAGACTGGATGACAGTGGTTTTGTAGTAGGCTGGGTGACAGTGTTTTTGTAGTAGGCTGGATGACAGTGGTTTTGTAGTAGGCTTGGACACAGTGGTTTTTGTAGTAGGCTAGGTGACAGTGGTTTTGCAGTAGGCTGGGACACAGTGGTTGTGTAGTAGGCTAGGTGACAGTGGTTTTGTAGTAGGCTTGGACACAGTGATTTTGTAGTAGGCTTGGACACAGTGGTTTTGTAGTAGGCATGGACACAGTGGTTTTGTAGTAGGCTTGAACACAGTGGTTGTGTAGTAGGCTTGGACACAGTTGTTTTGTAGTAGGCTTGGACACAATGGTTTTTGTAGTAGGATAGGTGACAGTGGTTTTGTAGTAGGCTGGGACACAGTGGTTGTGTAGTAGGCTTGGATACAGTGGTTTTGTAGTAGGCTTGGACACAATGGTTTTTGTAGTAGGCTAGGTGACAGTGGTTTTGTAGTAGGCTGGGACACAGTGGTTGTGTAGAAGGCTAGATGACAGGGTTTTTTTTTTTAGTAGGCTAGGACACAGTGGTTTTTGTAGTAGGCTAGGTGACAGTGGTTTTGTAGTAGGCTTGGACACAAGGGTTTTGTTATAGACTGGATGACAGTGGTTTTGTGGTAGGCTTGGACACAGTGGTTTTGTAGTAGGCTGGGTGACAGTGGTTTTGTAGTAGAATGGGTGACAGTGGTTTTGTAGAAGGCTGGGTGACAGTGGTTTTGTAGTTGGCTAGGTGACAGTGGTTTTGTAGTTGGCTGGGACACAGTGGTTTTGTTGTAGGCATGGACACAGTGGTTTTGTAGTTGGTTGGGACACAGTGGTTGTGTAGTTGGTTGTGACACAGTGGTTTTGTAGTTGGTTGGGACACAGTGGTTTTGTAGTAGGCTTGGACACAGTGGTGTTGTAGTTGGTTGGGACACAGAGGTATTGTAGTTGGCTGGGACACAGTGGTTTTGTAGTAGGCTGGGACACAGTGGTTTTGTAGTAGGCTGGGACACAATGGTTTTGTAGTAGGCTGGGACACAGTGGTGTACTTACGCTTGGCATCCTCCAAGTCTTTCTTTGTGTCTTTATGTTTGGTTTTCTCTTCATCCAATTGACCTGAAATGCAAACACTGGCTGTGATGATCGTTAGATTCCTGGATGTGTGTTTTTGTGAAAAAATAATATAGTCACAATTTTAAAATTAGTATTCATTTCAACATTCTCATTACTTTATAGCATAAGAACTACACAATATTCCTGTGTATATATGTCAACTAAATACTGTTTCAATCAAGCATACCAGTATATCGGGTTATAATGACATGCAGATATGATGTTATATAGTCCATATGCATCTTAATATATTATATCTATTTAAAACTGGTTACAATACCTATAATAATAAGTTCATCAACTTTTGTTTTTGCTTGTCTTTTTGTTTTATTGCTTTACATTGTTGTTTGAAAATCAATTTGGGCAGGAGAGTGTCCTTGAAGAAAAATCTCTATTTTTGTAAGTGGTTATTATTTTTGATATAATTTTTTGTTGCTAATCACAATCACAGAAGCCAAAAGACAACTTTAGATTACTATAAAACCATATGAAGTTCAGTGTTTTATTCTGTGAGAAGAACAGAGCTTCAAATGACAATAAAAGCATATTAAGCAAATAATCTAAGGACACCCAATAAACGAAAAATTCAGATTTTTTGGGGGGAAAATTTTGAAAAAAATAATTTGTATCAAATTTTACAATGGATAAAAAAGTTAAGAAACATCAGTAAGCAGAGGATCCCAGGAAACCAAGGGGAGGTCACTCACTCTTGAGCTGTTCATTCTGTTGTTGGTTAGTTTTCGTGTGCACCTGTTCCTCCAGAAGACGGTCTGTTAGCCAACCAAAACACAGAACAGATGACATGCAGGAACAGATCCAGTTAGCGTAAGAGAGAATTAGAATAAACAAGGGAAGACAACTCCACACACATTCTTCAGCAGAATTACTTTAGAATTAGAATCAAACATCACACCAATGGTTACGATTTTTTCTTCTTCTTTGGAATGAAAATTTACAAAAAAAAAGATTATCCATGCATTTTTATGAAGAATTTTTTTTGGAAACATATGCCTTTATGAAGAATGTGTTGATAGGTTAAAATTCTTTCAAAGTTGACACAATGTTAAGACGAGGTGCTAAGATCTTGACCACTATACTGTATATAGCTGATATTCACTCCTGTTTACTACTTGGTTTGATCATAGCCTCCATCAACTTTTGGTTTAGAAAATGACATTTTTACCCGATAGACATATAATTTCTACAGAATCAAGGTTTACCGTAACAATCTACTGGAATAACTTCTATTCAAGGAATCTGACATAACAGTTTTGGTATTGATATTTTGATAAATCACACCGTGTGTTTTTATGAGAGATGAAACAGATGGAAGCAATAAATGTAAAATTTTGTTAGAATCATGACAGAAATATGACCGTGACCAAATATCATCAAACTTGTTATATTCTAAGTTCAAAGAGGTCCTACAGATTTAATGACCTAAGTTTTTTGTATGCCTAGTTGGATGTGTGACTAGGTGATACTGACATGCTTTTGTTCTTTGAGGGTCAAGATTGAGGGTTTGTGTCAACTTTGCAGGAACAAATCATAAATCTCATGCAAGGAACAAACCAAACCATGGTAAAATATTTCAAACTCAAAATGGGCGAGGCTCAAGAAAATCAGCCCAATCAGGCTAGCAGAGATTATCAGTAAATCAAGAAATGCTCATGCTTCATAGCAGCTTGAGTGAGATGTCAATTTTTGTTTTCAAATTTAAATCAAATTTTTCATGTGCTTTTGTAAGTTAACTAAAAGCAAACTCCTGATAAAACAGCATTTCACTTCATTGGTTGGTGTACTAGCATTGGTTGGCAAGGCCCACAATAAGCATGTCTACAGTATTAATGTAACAACATGGAATACGGTCAAATCTATTTAGACGCTTTAGTGTTGACCTGTGTATTTGAAATTTGCCAACTAACATCATTGTACCATTGAAAGAGTCAAATGTTCAAAACCAATTCAAAAATAACATTTTGAAAGTAAAACTTTGAACAATGAACAAAAAAAATTGATACTTAAAAACTATAAATTTACAAACTTATCATTTTTTCAGCTCATTAAAATTTTGTCTCGTTAGATTATTAAGATACATGCAATATTATGGGATACATTTTCATACACAACTTTATATATATGTTTATGATATACCTGATATATGTATATAAACATGATATGTATCCATATATTGAGGAAAGTTATATTTTCATCGCAATGAAAATACAAGGCGGAAAATAGCATTAAGATAAACTACATGCAAACAGAGGAAGTTCCTCAATAACAAGAGCTATTTTATGTTGAAGTTTATGTCTTTAACCTTTTTCACCCCTACATAACGTTAAACGCCTGTCCTATTCATTGATCTGGATGAGTCCATTATGGTTTACAGTGGTGAAAGGGTGAAAGTACACTCTTACACATGTCATTCTTCCCCTAACTTGGTTAACATCCCTTTTTACTTGAAGTGACGAGTGATATTAAGCAGAATGCATGGAATATCAATGATCTCATTAACTGGCTATCACTAATAATAGACTAATCCATCAATAGTCACACAGTGTATTCTTTAACATTATCATACACTCTTGTTTCAAGCAGTAACCATTTTAATTCAACATGAGCAATATTTGAAATTTGCAAATTAGGCTACTGAATTGGCAGTGTATCTTATTTTTCCTCACAGCAACCAGACTTCAATCTTTGGAAAAATTCTGAACTTTATTTATATTCTGACAGCAAATGTTGATCACCATTATTTTTGACAGAAATGGAGAAATTGCAAAGAAGAAATTTTACAAATTACACTCAATGAAACTAATAAACTGTTCATTAACTTCAACACAATTTTTAGGTTAAAAATATTCCCTAAACAATATAATACCAAATTCAGGTTAAAAATTAACATAAATCAAAGTTCCTAAAAATCAATATCAAACTAAATGAATGTTTAACTGAAATGTAGGGATGTCAGTGATGGTGATGTTAATGTCACTTGTATCCACTGACCACAACTTTGGACCACACTGACCTCGGAGATCCAGTATCTGCTCCTTGACCTCCTGGGTGGTGGTCTCAGCCTTAGAAAGTTGATCTGTAAACAACAAATATAGAATCATTGTCACTTTTTCCCCCTTTTTTTTTTTAATTCGAAAAACCGTTAATGTTTCGTTTGTCTGTTTAAGGTCTGGAGTCCTTAAAACAGCCGAGGTCATTTGATGATGATGCCCACAGTTTTTACCGGACTATGCAACAACTAATGTCAAACAATAGATGACGGGGCCACTAAAGGGCCACTATAAAGTTCAATCTCACTGAAATGTCATAGCCTGGTCACGATAGCATGACACTCCATCCAGTTACATTAATCTGAAAATGGGCTTACCAAATGGCTATAAACACAGCAATGAAAAAAAGAAGAGTAGACTGACAACAGAAAAGAAAAAAACAAGAGGTCGTAAGTGTTGCTGTGGGAACAATAGATCAATTCTCCTTTCTTCAGTGGCCCCCAAGTCTTCAGTGGCCCCAAAGAAGTGAGCACAACAGAAAAGGACACGAAATGTAGATATCAGTGGACCCAAAATGTGTCTTCAATTCTGATTGGTCACAAATACATCACACTCTGAATCTACTTTTTTTTTATTGCAGACTCACTATGTATCACGGTCTTAGATTGGCTACTACTACTCAACATTAAAAGATGTATCATCAGTTCTGATTGGTTACTATAATCTTGTAGGTCTACCACTGATTCTACTAAGACAATACATCATACGTTATTGTGTACAGCGACCCCAATAGATGAAGTTCTAACTGATACCTGGACATTACCTTGTAGCGTGTCCGCCCGCATCTTTGTCTCGTCCAGCTCCGCTGTAAAACAAATCAAAACGACTTCAGACTATGTTATTCAGCACAAATCTACCCTATACAATTCTCTCACAAAACTAACCCCTCACGAATCAGGTTTTCTGGCTTCTCCCAAATTATCCTATGCCTCACATGGATATCTGCATTTTCAGATCTATGGCAAAGACAAAATATTACCACATATACAAGAGCGAGTTTCCATGTTTATGAAGAATATTATAAAATACACAACTAATTACAAAATAAACAGTTGTCATCAACCATTTGTAAACCATCACAAAATCATAAAACTGAAACTGCAAGCAATTCAAAGCTAGGAGCAATCATACCTTGTATTCGATCCAATTTGTTTATCACTTAACAATTATTTTTTTACGAAAACAATCCAAACTCACAATGAACTACATTATCTTCAAAATGTATGAAACAGAATTTCTTGAAGTCGGTAGCCAGGGGTGAATCAGGAGTAGGCGGTAGATCAGAGGATGACATTTCAGCCATTTATCAGCAGACTTACTTCTGCTGTACGGAGCGTTTGTGATTTGTCTCACTCTCTGGATATTATGGGATGTAAGTAGCAATGTATCACACTAAGTTCTAGATTTAATGACAACTCTGTGTATGGGCAACTTCATAACAAATTTACCAATACAATTGTTGACCATATTTTCCCAAATATGGTAGTTTACAACAAAATTTCAATACACACTTTTACAATAGCTTTAATTGCAGGAAGGTCATACCTGACCTTAAATTCAGCAATATCTATGTCAGAAGTAAAGATTTTTTTTTTTAATTGGATGTCAGATTTCATTAAGCTGAATATGCTCGGCTTGCAGTATTTGTCACTAACTCCACCTGCACATGTATCAACATTCCAGGTACTACTGCAGACTCGGCGTTGTTCACAGACACTGGTAATTGAGTGTAAGCTGATCATTATTATACACAAAGGTTTTTATAACTAATGTTATTAAATCAGATTTATATTTCTGTGATATCAGAAGGCAACATATCTCCACCATCTAACTAACTTAAATGATATACAGCCAAAAATGTAACATATTGATTATTTTCATTTAAATCTGATAACTTTTTATTCATTCTTTCAGTAAAATTCAGTCCAGAAATGAGAAAGAAATATTTACATTTACTTATCATTTAAGCATGATGTTCACATTGATAAAAGGTGCACCACATTTTCAGGAGAAAATCTAAACTTAAGTGGAAAATTAATATCAGTGATAACACTGTTTACTATCATACTGAATCAAGGAGAAAGATTTTATTCCAAAAGGCGACTGAGCTTTCGTTAGGCTGTGTGTGCAGACAGAGACTAGACATTACCTATTGAAACCCGTCAATAAATGGATGAATGAGAGTATTTAAAAGTAAGGAGTAAACGGACACAATCTTTTATCTTTTATATATAATCGTCGATCATTATGAAACGAAAATCATTAAAGGCATAATTTAGCTTAAGTTAAATCATAGTAAAAATCATTAGAGAAGAAATTGCTTTTTCTTCTATACACCGTTCATGTTTCTTGCTCTTTGAAGAGTCTTGGCAGTGGTCCCACCGACAACCTTATACACTACCCAAGTAACTTTTTAGAAAATGACAAATTAACTCTGGTTTATAGAAAACAGGAGCCTAATGATCGGACAAGTCACTCCTCAGGAGTCCAGTGTCTTGCTGGGTATAAAGCTCCACTGTTTCGCCGCATAACAGATTGTACAGATTGTTTTACAATGATGATTGTTCATCCTAAATGTGGTTTTAGTAAGGTTTGCTCCACCGACACATTATGTATTAACCTCTTTATAAATGTAAGCTAGCCTCAAATTTTTCATCAGATTTACATTAATGGACATATTTAAAGAATCTGTGACAAAGCATGAGATTAATTAACTTACAAATAACTAGAACTAAAACTCATGATGAATACCAACACCTTTGCCATACAACATTTCAGCAGAAACCTAACGTGAAACATTTTAAATTAAACTTTTGCAATCTAACAATGCTTCATAAAACTAGATTTCCAGGGGTTTCAGACTGCTTACTGTACTACAGCAGTAATGAATACTGTTAATGTTAAACTTTCACCAGGTTTTAACTTACTTCTTCAGCTTTCATTGTTTATGAAAAAAGACGGCAAATTTACTACACGACCAAAACATTCTGTTAAGTATATATATCTGTCAAGTCTCCCAATTTTGGATGGGTTAGCCCATAAATCTTGTTTTTATTCACTATTACTTTGTTAGACTACTGGGGTCTTCATAAGAACTTTTAAAACATCTTTAGATTTTTTTGCACAGTTTCTCTCCTATGAAATTTGAGTAGAAATACCAGTACTGACAGAACATGGAAAAATCAACAGGCCAAAAGGGCCCCGCCTGCACCTGAACTAGTGATCACCCGTACAATAACTTCGGCAGAAGACTGCCTGTGATCCAGTCCCTTCCATTTTCTAAACCAGCTACATCACTTACTGTCCTTCAGGCTGTGCAATTTCCTCTTCATGGTGACATAGAAATCGCTAATTTCTCTCATAGTTTTAATTGTTATTGACAGCTGTCAAGTAAAATTCCTCCACATGTCTGTTTTAAGTTGTAAGCAAGATTTCCACAGGAACTAAATCTCTAATAGGGAGCTCAGTAAAAGTGACTTTTCTCCATGTTCACTATTAAGTAAAACTGAATGCACCTTTGAAGTTAAAACTTTTCCCTTCTGAAGACTTTTATAAATCCAGTAAATTATCTTCATTCCACGTCACAACAGTTTCTTGTCTGTCAACTACACTGTCCTAAATTCTGTCAATTATACCTGTTCTCCCTCAAAAGGTCAGAGTAAATTGGTGTTACAATAAAAACAGATCCGTTGACTTAGAGAAAAAGGGGTGAAAAAGTAGATATATCACACTAAATAACACTACATGTCTTCATGCCTCTTCACATGGATTAAGACTGCTAGTCTTATGACGACAAGAATTCTTTGAAGATATAAATCTTTGAGAAACGTTTTGTGACTATTCACAGGTAAATATAGAGTTTCAAGAGCCGGTGTCGTAAGAATACCTTGTGTGGCTCCTGTAGGTAGCCGGGCCCTGGTTTAACAATGGACGGAGGCACTAATCAAATAAAACACCTACAGGGATAGTAGGTCGGTGTTACCTGTCCGTGGCTAATGTAAGTAATTGACGACTTTCTCACCTGTCAGGACACAGGTGAGTGGTCAAAATAGGCGATAGGAATTGTACTAGCTGTTTACCTCCCAAGATTTAAATCTCACACTAACTTAACAGTAAACATCACTTTAAACCTACATTCATTTACACTTAACGTAAACACAATATGTTTTTCTTAAAAACCCTGGTTTACACAAATTCAGTGTACTGTTTTCCTTAAAGCTATGCACTACAGTTTCCTTATAACAGCACTTTTTTGTATTTGTAATCCATCGGAAAAATAGCATTCAAATCTCTACATTGAAAGCTGGAACGTAATTGATTCTACCAGTATATTGAATGGTATAAAAGTGTTGTGCAGATAAATCATGGCACACAAATGTACAGGTGAATATTATACCTAAACATCTACAGGTGTATTTACTTTCAACTCCTTGAGAACACACAAGACCCACTACGGCCTAGATTCATGTATAAGTGACATAATATAAGCTACTGTTGTCCGTATCTAGTCTGTGCGTTACTCAACTTTGAAACTTTCAGCGTACTAGCTGCTAAGTTATAGCGATTTATCTATATGAACATTATGTGTCGTATCTGGTATTTCAGTCTAGATAAATTTTTAGTTAGCAAAGTGCTCTTGCACCAAAGAATCTACACCTGACATTCAAATGAAGTTTAGGAAAACACCATCTGTTATAAATCTGAAGTTAAAGAAAGGCTGTATTTCAAACAAGATTTCTTCAAAAGACTATCTTTTCTGGAGTTGCTTTATTTTCTGATCACAGAGCATCCTGGACACACAAGAGAAATTCAACTTCCTCTGAAGTTAACATTTGTACAATATCGTAACTAGAATCTAGTAACTACTTTGAATTATCACGGTAAGATTTACATGAAATTGTTTATGAGGATTTTTTAAATCAATTCTTGAACAAAATAGCTGAAATTAAATCTACCGAGGCAAGTGTATACAATTACTGTACCCGATCACCCATACATCACTGTGAACACTGACTGACGGAAAGACACACAAGTAATTAATTCTAACCTAAGTGGTTTAATATATAAACAGTCAGTAATTGATCTAAAATTTAAATATTAGTTCATCCATGATGGAGACATTTATAACAGTGTGAAGTTTAGCGGTGTGGTCATCAATCAAATGATGCTGACCAAGTATGTCAGCCGTGATGTGAAATGGTACCCCCATTAAACTATGTATATATAGTCACAAGCAAAATTACATTATCAGTTCAATCAAAATTATTCAACACAGAGACGACTTGAAAGCACAGATAAATCAAATAGATAATTATGTTCTTTTTATACAAATTTGGACACCTTATCTGGCTTTTCAAGTACTCTGTTTTTCTTCTCGTGATGAGATTGACTCAAGTAGGTTTTACTGTTTTGGCATATTTGGAGTTTATTTATTGATGTAACTTGAAAAAAAAAAGTGTCTAAAATATAGAATACACATAGTCATTGTAACATGGAAGTAGACACAATTGAATATCTCTGACCTAAAATTATTTTTAACAGCACTAAGGTTTTGTTCAAAAGTTAAATGGATTTCATTTCAAGATAATAGTTCCTAAAAAGACAAAGCATTCAGCTACAGCTACATTTTCAATCTGTTGATATTTGTGTTAGTTGTCTCCCTTACACTGATTTTAATCGAATCCTACAGAAATGAAACCTCAACATACCGGTAATGCCATTCCCTTCATTTGTCACATTACATACTACATTTTTCAGGGTTCCTTTTTTAGTGTTTCTCAACGATTCTTTTTTTATACTTCTCTTTTGACATATCACTAAACCTCTTTATAATGCCAAAAGGTTGGAATATGACAGTATAATAAGATTTCACTGTAATTTCGAATGTTTGGAGTGTTATAAATGTAAACACTCTTGTTAATGCTTCAAATGTGTCCAACAGACCAAGTCCAAAGGATTGATAACAAAAGATGTACATTTTTGTTAAGGTGGAACTTTCTTGGAAAGGAGGTACATATTGGTAAAATATGGTAACATGTATCATTAAGGTTGTAATCAACTCACATTTGTACCCCTTCAGCTCCACTTCAGCTTTCTTCTGTAGGTCTCTGGCCTCCAGCAGGAGATCTGTGGACAGAAATGATGACCGGTGTTACTGACCACAACTACTCATTAACCATGTATAGACTGACCAATTATACAGAGACTGACCCCGGTTTACCTACCATACATTAATGTAATTACAGTCATACATATGGTAGACACAGAATGTACAACTATCTGGCATATTGACCTACTGCAGTGAGTTAATATATCAGAGTTCCGACAGGTTTTTAATATGAAATTCAGGTATTTTTAGGCTTTTTTCCAGTTAAAAAAAAAGGCCTATATGCAAATTCCTCAAAATACTGAAATCCACACATGACCCCTGCATGCCTCTAAACTCATTATACAAACACTTAACACTAAAATCTGACAATGGTCGGTATCCACAGCATACCAGTTTTACAATAATTTTGACTCCACTCCTTCAAGTCATTTTGTTAAATTTAGAGGCTTTTAGTGTTTTTCAATGCCAATCCTTTGTTTTAGGGCCTTTTCAAGGCCTGTACAAATCTTATGTACAAATCTTTTCACTTCTGAAATTTTTTCCTCAACAAAAAACATCAATATTTTGGCATGGTAGAATTTACGCAAAGCTACTTTGACAATTCAGTCTTCCTGTCAACTTTCACAAATCTTAAATTACAGTCTAATTGTAAAAGTCAAACTACAAGATTTGCATTTCAGATGGGAACATTGACTAGAAAATGTTTGGAAAACACATTTATATATCCCCTTACCTACAAGTTTGATAGAAATGGAGGTAAGCCTAAACTAACCTATATATATACCCTTATCTACAAGTTTGATAGAAATGGAGGTACGCCCTAATCTAACCTATATATCTACTCTTACCTACAAATTTGATAGAAAGGGAGGTAAGCCCTAATCTAACATATATATATACCCTAACCTACAAGTTTGATGGAAATGGAGGTAAGCCCTAATCTAACCTAGATATATAGCCTTACCTACAAGTTGGATAGAAATGGAGGTAAGCCCTGATCTAACCTATATATATACCCATACCTACAAGTTTGATAGAAAAGGAGGTAAGCCCTAATCTAACATATATATATACCCTAACCTACAAGTTTGATGGAAATGGAGGTAAGCCCTAATCTAACATATATATATACCCTAACCTACAAGTTTGATGGAAATGGAGGTAAGCCCTAAGCTAACCTATATATATACCCTTATCTACAAGTTTGATAGAAATGGCGGTAAGCCCGATTCTAACCTATATATATACCCTTATCTACAAGTTTGATAGAAATGGAGGTAAGCCTAAACTAACCTATATATATACCCTTATCTACAAGTTTGATAGAAATGGAGGTACGCCCTAATCTAACCTATATATCTACCCTTACCTACAAGTTTGATGGAAATGGTGGTAAGCCCTAATCTAACCTAGATATATAGCCTTACCTACAAGTTGGATAGAAATGGAGGTAAGCCCTTATCTAACCCATATATATACCCTTACCTACAAGCTTGATAGAAATGGAGGTAAGCCGTAATCTAACCTATATATATACTCTTACCTACAAGGTTGATAGAAATGGCGGTAAGCCCTAATCTAACCTATTTATATACCCTTACCTACAAGTTCGATAGAAATGGAGGTAAGCCTAAACTAACCTATATATATACCCTTAACTACAAGTTTGATAGAAATGGAGGGAAGCCCTTATCTAACCTATATATATACCCATACCTACAAGTTTGATAGAAATGGAGGTACGCCCTAATCTAACCTATATATCTACCCTTACCTACAAGTTTGATGGAAATGGAGGTAAGCCCTAAGCTAACCTATATATATACCCTTATCTACAAGTTTGATAGAAATGGAGGTAGGCCCTAATCTATCCTATATATATACTCTTACCTACAGGTTTGATAGAAATGGAGGTAAGACTAATCTAAACTATATATATACACTTACCTACAAGTTTGATAGAAATGGAGGTAGGCCCTAATCTATCCTATATATATACCCTTACCTACAAGCTTGATAGAAATGGAGGAAAGCCTAATCTAACCTATATATATACTCTTACTTCAAGGTTGATAGAAATGGGGGTAAGCCCTAATCTAACCTATTTATATACCCTTACCTACAAGTTTGATGTAAATGGAGGTAAGCCCTAATCTAATCTATATATATACCCTTACCTACAAGCTTGATAGAAATGGAGGTAAGCCGTAATCTAACCTATATATATACCCTTCCCTACAAGTTTGATAGAAATGGAGGTAGGCCCTAATCTATCCTATATATATACTCTTACCTACAAGGTTGATAGAAATGGAGGTAAGCCGTAATCTAACCTATATATATACTCTTACCTACAAGGTTGATAGAAATGGAGGTAAGCATAATCTAACCTATATATATACTCTTACCTACAAGGTTGATAGAAATGGAGGTAAGCCCTTATCTAACCCATATATATACCCTTACCTACAAATTTGATAGAAAGGGAGGTAAGCCCTAATCTAACATATATATATACCCTAACCTACAAGTTTGATGGAAATGGAGGTAAGCCCTAAGCTAACCTATATATATACCCTTATCTACAAGTTTGATAGAAATGGAGGTAAGCCCTAATCTAACCTATGAATGGAGCTTAATGCAAAGTCTAACCAAAGTGAATGGAGCAGATAAACTAGGTCACAGTGACCTACATTTGTGAAGTAGTTCTCTAGATGTATCCACATACAAAATTTGATGACTGTTGTGACTTCTATTGTACTTAACAAGCCTTGTTATCCATATGAGCAACCAGATGTTATATAAACCTGCTTACCGTTGAGATTTTGGTTGTCGTCGAGGTCTCCATCAACATGATTGTGTATTGTTTCGTCGGCATTGCCATTCCCAACCAGAGTGACATCCCCTCGTCCTATCTGTTGTACTTTGTAGTCAATAATTTCTGACTCCATATTGTTTACTTTGTCTGCAAAAGAGTAAAGTGTAAGTATTGAGCTAAGACATATTCAAGTGACAGTTTCATCCAGTGTGCCCAAGATCAAGCAAATCTACAACAATTATATTAAGACCAAGTTTACAAGTCCAACACAGCCAGCTTTTTTCACTGGAAGTTAAATTTTTGTGCACAGGGACAATGGGGCTCAAATGATGACAAGGCTGACTGCTAAACACACGCTCCTCTTGTGGACTTTTTGAAACTAAGGCCCTGCTGACCTCGTAGATCTTAATATGGAAACTGGTTGCCATGCCGACCTTGTAAACCTTCAATACTGAGGTTGGTTGCCATGTTAATCCTGTGGACCTTAGATATTATGTTACACTGTCAATCTTGTAGACCTTAATACTGAGGTTGGTTGCCATGCCGAACTTGTAGACCTTAATACTGAGCTTGGTTGCCATGCCTTAAATACTGAGGACAACTATCGTGCTTACCTTGAAGGCCTTTGATGAGCTCTTTACTGCCATCAGACTGTTTGTGAGATTCTTTCAATTGAACTGAAAGAAAATAAAACACAAACTGACACCCAAGGACAATATGTAATTTGTTAAATTTCAACAAATTAAAAACATTTCCACAGTGAGGTTTCACAGATGGCAAAGGAAACACAGATTATCCACTCTGTTACGGAAGATTCTCAATTTCAATGTGTGTATTAGAATCAGTCTGGTCACTAGTAGAGTGTAATGATGGATTTTTGATATCTCAAAAGCAAGTGTTATATTCACACCATTCGCCACACTCCATAGACAATGATGAATGTATGGGAAACTACCGAGTCGCTCGCATTGTATCACTTCCTATATATTTCAAAATTCACAATTATTGACCAACATTACAATACCAGTATGCAGGAATATGAAAAATTAAGGAACAATTTAGCAAAGTAAATCACAATACTGTCTGACCTCTTAGAGGGGGTGATATATGAAAACGGACAAGCAGAAATCATGAGAGCACACGTAGCAACAACACTATGTAATGTTACACACTTACGTTCTAAATCGGCCATTGTGTTTTCCATCATCTGATTCATATGTAAATCGGACAGCCTTAGCTTTTCTGCATATGATGATAATACAAAAGAAACAAAAAACCTTCAAAACAGCAGCAGGTGCACAAAAATGTTTTAAACAAAAGCAGTGGATATCAAAACTGAACAGACAGCATGCAGGGGAGGTAACCCAGGGTTCCTGGGAAATTGTGTAACACCCATGGCCAGCATGTGACGTTACCAAGGGTTCATAAGGTGGTGTGTTAAACTCAGCAGATGACGTTATTCACGATTCCCGGGAAATAATGTAATGTCTATTTTCTTATACCTGGTAAGTTTTAAAAGTCTACAAATGTTAAACCTGATCAAAGTGTTTATTAAACACAATAATTATTAGTAATTTTAAACTTTAACATTATAACAATGTAAAAACTAATTTTAATAGGAAAGAATTAATTGAATTTTTAATTTTAATAGATTTGTTCTTGTTGAACAAAAACAAATTAAACCCTGTTTATTTCCCATTAAATTTAAGGGAAAGTTAGTATGGTCCATTACAAAATGATTGCATTCCAACATTTCATGCTCTTTACTTAAAACAAGTTAAACTTATTTTAAACAAATAACTATTATGAATTATCATTAAAAATTTAGGTCAAAGATGCGTCACTTTTAAATTTATTTCATCTAATTTATTTTGAATACACACCTTAGCTAGATATTTTAAATTTTAATTGCATGTATCTTCATCAGATTCAACAATTGAAATATCATGTACATTTTTATTAAAGTACCCGCATATAAGTTGTAAAATTAATAAAATTCCACAAATAGTAAGACTTAAATGAATTTTTGTAAAAGAAGTCTGGTAAAATAAGAGACTTTTGGTCCATTATAAACAAAATCTGAAACTCAATTAGGAAAGGTCACCGACTGAAGCTTGATAAACATACAAGGTCTAGTGATTCAGGTTTCTCAGCTAGTACGTGAATTTGAAATATTGAAGACGAAAAATATTCTTCAATCAAATACTCTGATATGGTTGAAAGTGATGCATCAGTTTCTATCAGGGAAAAAAATGCAACTGGAGAAATTGTCTAAGGACAAAAAAGACAATGTTGAAACAACACAATCACCCCAAAATAAAATTTTCACAATATTGACAATATCATCAACAAAAGGGAATTGAGCTTGAAAACCGTTCTAATGGATCCACATTATCAATGGTTAACATACAACAAAATCACTGTTTACACATGCATCAAATGTCGACGCTGGGTGATCACAACACACAGATAAAATCAAAGGAATGTACGCAGGATTCACTCGCAGCTACAACTTAATTTTGTTTCTGCGTACGGGGCAATTTTCTATGCAGTGATATTTAATGGGCTTTTTTTCTGGAACGATGAATCAACAAATTCAAGATGACAGGAAGTGCTTCCAGTATAATAAGACTAAATGCCCAAACTATGATTTCAATACAGAACTAACTTTTGTTTTTTTTATGTAAACCTAAATTCAACAAGAGGCCCAATGGGCCTGCATCGCTCACCTGTTATTAATCTAACACTTGTAATCTTAAGATTTCATAAGAACCTATTAAAAGATTTAAACATATGACGCCTCTGACCTTGATTGTCGAACAAGGACATTAGGTTGAAAGTGGATCAAGGTCATTCATTTGAACTAACATGGTAATCCTTCATCCCAGCATGCTACAGGCCCAATTTCAGTACCCTGGCCCTTTTGCTTATTGAAAAGAAGTCGCTTGAAGATTTTACGACATTTGACCCCTGTGACCTTGAAAGTTGGTCAAGGTCATTCAGTTGAACAAACTTGATAGTCCTTCATCCCAGCATGCTACAGGCCCAATATCAGTACCCTGGGCCTTTTGGTTATTGAGAAGAAGTTGTTTGAAGATTTTAAGACATCTGACCCCAGTGACCTTGAAAGTGGGTCAATGTCATTCATTTAAACAAACTTGGTAGCCCTTCATCCCAGCATGCTACAGGCCCAATATCAGTACCCTGGGCCTTTTGGTTATTGAGAAGAAGTCGTTTGAAGATTTTATGACATTTGACCCCTTTGACCTTTGAAAGTTGGTCAAGGTCATTCATTTGAACTAACTTGGTAATCCTTCATCCCAG